TGGTCCTGTATTTTGTGTTGTTCTCGGCAGAGCTCAACCTGATCTGCCATCTTTTTCTGGAAGTTCTCTTTGGCTTACTCTCGAGTGCATATTTATCCATAAATATCCAGAAATGTCAAAAGTAAATCTGAATTGGTTCCAACCATTCTAGATAGTCTTGAGCTATACAAGTGTACTGAGTAATTGTGTACAATGCCTTGTATTTGTAGATCTCTTTATATTAACTGATTTACATGGGAAATCAGAGCCACCTCAGCTACCTTACAATGATTATAGTGCCTGCTTACTTTTCTTAAGACTTCATTTTGTAATTAAAGTACATTCTGTTCCTTTTAATCCAAATTCTAAATTAGAGGCAATGCAAAGGTTTATAAGTAAAACCTTCTGGAGTGTTAAATCTAACCTGAATGTGCATTAGAAGCAATAATTTTTACTTTCTGTATGTGTGTGTATTTAAATTTAATTTCATTTTAGTGCATGTCAATAGCATTTTCATGTACCAAGTTATTTAAAATCTTTCCATTGCTTCTTGCTTCTAATTTCAAACTTCTAAAAAATGTTGAGATGAAATATTTGGAAATAATTTTGAAAGGAGAATCATTTTAAAGAGAACCAAAAGTATTATTAAAAATATAATCGGATTCCATTAGTTCTATGTATGGAATTCTTTTGTTCAATTAATGTACTCATTCTGTCAACAAGTCTCTATTGGGAGGTCTCTGTTTGTCACTAGGGATATAGTGGAGTCCTGGTGTGACATAGTGGGACAAGCACTGAACTGTGACCTGTATTGGATTTCTGAGGATTGGTTGGTGGGTTTGAACCTTGTAGTTAGCAGTCCAGTGCTTATCATAAAGTGCTACACTAGGACTCCAATCACAGAATTAAGAATGGTGATAAATAACACATCTATGTGCTATGGTGATGGTGGTTATGTGCCGTGGTGTTGGTTCTGACTCATAGCGACCCTATACAGGGTTTCCAAGGCTGTAAATCTTTACAGGAGAAGACAGCCTCATCTTCAGGGAAATGTAATACTCCAGGATGGTAGCAAGCAGGCAAGGGTACCACCTACTCTAGGAGATTAGTAACAACTACTCTTTTGCTTAAGCTGAGTTCAGGTGAACAATAAATAAATATGGTGGTAAGGATGGGACTTCTGTCAGTTTTCCTGGTAGAATAAATAACAGCATGTTCAAAGGCCTTCAGGGGCCACAAATGAGGCTTGAACGTTGAGAGGTCTCAACTTTGCAGAAGATACAAGGCAAGCATCAAGGTTCTTTTCTATACCTCAACCAACTCATTGTCCTGAAACTTTGTCTACTTACCTTCTATGAATCTTTTTTTTTCCCTTAAATTTTATTTATTTTGTTGTTGTTGTTGAGAATATACACAAAACATACTAATTCAATGATGTCTGTGCACACAGTTTAACAACACTGATTACATTTTGATTGCATTCTTCCAGTTGTACTTCTGTTCTCACCCTTTTTTCTGAGTTGTCCCCCCCTCATTAACATGTACTCTCTGTTCCCTAAAGTTGCTATTTAATCTTCCTAGTTGCTGTTGTCAGTTTGGTAGTATATGAGTATAAAAAAAGATTCTATAGTTGCTGAGCTGTTTCTGATTCATAGTGACAGAATAGATCTGCCCCTGGGGTTTCCAAGGCTGTATATTTTTATGGAAGCAGACTGTCGCCTGTTTCTCCTACAGAGTGGCTGGTGAGTTGAAACTGCAGACCCATTGTTTGGCAGGCACATGCCTTAACCACTGCATCACCAGGACATCTTTTATCACAGATGCATAGTTCTTAAAAGAGTATAATGCTCAAGGCAGACCTTTAGAAATCATTATTAAACGAGTTAAGCTGAAGTATTGCTCTGTTTTAAGATGACTTCAGAAGGTATTTTTGGTGTAAGGTTTTAAGATGATCTTAGGGCACTCATTTCAGGGATTTATCCATTCTCCAGGGCATTCTGCAGCTTCCCCCTTTTGATCAGTATTCTTTTATGGAATCCTTGGTCAAAATGCTCAGGAATGGTAGCTGTTGTTAAGTGCCATCGAGTCAGTTCCAACTGATAGCCACCCTGTGTAGGGTTTCTGAGGAGCGGCTGGTGAGTTTGAACCACTGACCTTGTGTTTCAAACTGACCTTGCAGTCCTGTGCTTATCCTACAGAGCCACCCCAGACGTCATGAATTCTTCTGGACTTATGGCAAATGAGACAGTTGGTCATGGAAAGAACTACTCACACATACTCCATCTCCTCCTATTTGGGACTCCTTCTATTGCTCCAGGTGAAGAGAGACCAATTGTTGTGCCAACTGATGGCTACTTGCAAGCTTTTACACATCAGGCACTACTCAATGAACTAAGAGGCTGAACAGATGCACCAAACACATGATTAGGCCAATTAACCCAGATGATCCATGAAGTCTTCAAACCTCCAAACTAAGAACCCAAATCTCATGAGGTGTTTGATTGTACATGAGCAGCTTCAGCGCGTACTCTTTTGTGTTGTTGTTGTCATTGTAAATATGAAGGGGCATCAAAAAGTAAGTGGAAAAATTGCATTATCTTTTAGTTTTAGTTTTCCTTGAACTTTTTCAAGCCCCTTGTATATCATTACACAACTTTTGCCAATTCAGCTTTATACAGGTGCACAGCGCATTGACAGCATCTACATTAATCAGCTGTGAAACCGTATCCTTCATCAATGTGATGTTTCCAAGACTGTTAACTCTCTTCTTCTCATCCCTTCCACCACTGGTGGTCACTAATACACTTTGATCACTATATTGTTGTCTTTTCTTGTCTTCTTTATATCAGGTGAGGTCACACAAGATTTGTCTTTTGGTGATTGACTTATTTCAACCAGCACAATGTCTTCAAGCTCCATGCATATTTTAGCATGCATTAAGACTTCAGTTTTCCTACTAGCTGAGTAGTATTCCAATGTATAAACATGTACCATGTTTTGTTTATCCATTCATCTACTGATGGACATTCAGGTTGTTTCCACCCTTTGGCTGTTGTGAATTGTGCTGCAGTTAACACTGTTGGCATAAAAGTCTCATTTGGAGCATCTACTTTCAGGTGTTTTTGGTATATTCCAAAGAGTGGTATTGCTGGACCATATGATTGTTGTTAAGTACTGTTGAGTCTGTTCTGACTCATAGCCACCCTGTATAGGGTGTCTGACTCCTGGTGTGGTGTTGTGGGTTAATGAGCTGTACTGCAAAGTTGGTTTGAACTGGAAGGTCGGTGGTTCAAGCTCACCAGCTGTTCCTCGGAAACACTATACAAGGTTGCTTTGACTTGATGACACTTAACAACAACAACATGGGGTTTCTGAGGAGCAACTCGTGAAGTTTTATATATATTTTGGTTATTATATTCTTGTTGGATAAATGGTTCCAAAAAAACTCTCCTAGTTGTAGCTTTTCTTTTCACTTTTTTGATGAAGTCCTTTGATGAACAAAAGTCTTACTTTTTATGAGGTCTCATTTATTTATTTTGTCTTTTGCTGTTGTGGTGGTTTTGTTACTATATTATACAACTCATTGTTGAAAGCTAGGCCCAATAACATTTGCTCCTATTTGTTCTTTTAAGAATTTTATGTTTTTAATTTGCACATTTTAAGTCCATAACTTGCTTTTGTATATGATAAGAATTGACTTGATGGTATGCTATTGCACATAGTCCTTGTCTCTGTCTTTATGCTTCTCCTAATCCTTAACCTAGGAACTCTGGTAGCATAGTGGTTACAAATCGGGCTGCGAGCCTCAAGGTCAGCAGTTTGAAACTATCAGATGCTCCATGGGAGAAAGATGAGGTTTTCTGCTCCTGTAAAGATTTACAGCCTCAGAAACCCTGTTCAGGGTCGCTATGGGTCAGAACCGACTCGATGACACTTAACAACAACAACAACAATCCTTAACCTAAATGATAAATATATGATTGTGAAAAAGCAACAAAAGTTTGTTTGATTACATACTTCTTCCAAGGAGTGATAAACTTCATAATTATATCTAGGAAGAGATCTTCGGTTTCTCTGGGTCTGCAAGCTGCTTCCCTTTTCCAGTGCTTTCTGAAGATCTTCTATGAGGACCCTGGGTGTGAAAAGACAAACATAATAGAGTACGTTGAGATAATATAAAAATTCGGGACTAAAACCAGAAATTCATGCTATCTATGGAAAAAGGGCAGCCAACGTTAACATTTCTAATAATACCAAATGTTGAAAACAATTCTTTTTAAAGAAATGAAAAGTGTAACTATGAGCTTATTATAAGCATATGTCTCCATATGCTGATGTGTCTGCTATAACAGCAGTAGTCATAGTTACCATGGATGGAGCATTTACAACAACAGAATGATAGTTACAAGCACTTATATTTGCTCAGTTTATTATGCACCAGGCACGCTGCAGTTTCTACACACAGGCTCTCAGTTTCTATTACTCCCATTTTACAAGCAGGGAAACAGCCTCCCAAGGGTTCAAAACTTACTAAGGCAGTCATGAGTAGCCACGCCCGAATTTGAACTCAGATTGTGAAGTCAAATTAAGTGTTGAGACTTCAAGTTCAGTGTGACGACGCAATGAAGACTGAGCAGAACCTATAATGAAAATGTTTCCTCGCCCCTGTGCACAGCTCCTTTACTGCTGCTTCTATTTCCTCACATCCCTTTCATCACTGGGAGGCTGTTCTAATGGCATCACCAAAATATCTAACTCAAGACTCTGAGAGAAAAGAGAAAGGACAGCAAAGTTCTGTCAACAGAAGAAACGGAAGAAATACCCAGAATTGGAAAAAGTTTTTTAGCTTCTTGCTAATATCAAGGATGTCAAGAAAAGCGTAGCTAATCAAAGCCAATGCATTTGGAAAGTGGAGGTTGAGGCCATTGTGGATTCAAGTGTTTGAAACCAGCTCCAGATGAAGCCATTAGTGCTTTTGATGCTACCTCTAAGCTGGATATAGGCCCGTCTTCCCACTCCACACAGAATGTTTAAGTATAGCTTCTTTGAAGTAAAAATGCACTTCCCTTGTTTGGAATAACTTAGAGACATCAAAAACCATGCAATGATTTTTCTGGGTGTGGCAGGTAAAAAGTTTTATCTTCTCCCAAAATCAGTTGCTTAAAGAGTAGTACTGGTGTGGCATTGTTGAATAAGCTCTGGACTACTAACCACAAGATTGGCAGTTCAAAACCACCCACTGCTCCTTGGAAACTCTATACAGGGTTGCTATGAGTTGTACTGACTCAATGACACCCAACAACAACAGCAGCAGTAGTTTAAGTTCTATTAAAATAATGACTCGAAGGCTGATCTATGTTCTATATTTTTTGTTGTTAAGTGTGGTTAGCAGTCCAGTGCTTATCTTATAGCTCCACCCCAGGATCTGTATGGCTGTCTGTGTGCTATCGAGTCAGTTCTGACTCATAGTGACCCTGTATAGGGTTTCCAGAAGCAGTTTGTGGGTTTGAACCGTCTATTTTCTGTTTAACAGTTCAGTGCTTATCCTGAAGCTCCACACCAGGATCTATATGACTGGCTGAGTGCTGTGGAGTCTGTTCCAACTCATAGTGACCCTATATAGGGTTTCTGGGGCTACAAGTCTTTAAGGGAGTAGAAAACCTCATTTTTCTCTCGTGGAGCAGCTGGTGGACTTGAACTACTGACCTTGTGGTTAGCAGCCTGAAATGTAACCTATTATGTTACCAGGGCTCAGATTCTATATTTGTTGATGTTGTTAAGTGTTGCTGAGTCTGCTCGAACTCACAGCAACCCTGTATAATGTTTCCCAGGAGTGGCTAGTGAATTTGAACTGCCCATCCTGAAGTTCAAACAGACCTTGGGGCCCAGTGCTTATCCTACAGTGTCACACTAGGACTTCGAGGATCTCTATGTTGTCGTTGTTAAGTACCATGGAGTCGGTTCTGATTCATAGTGACCCTGCACAGGGTTTTCAAGGCTGTAAATCTTTACGGGAGCAGAAAGCCTCCTCTTTCTCCCATGGACTGGCTGGTAGTTTCGAACTGCCGACCGTGAGGTTAGGAGCCCGATTGATTCGTAACCACTACACTACCAGAGCTCCTGAGGATCTATATAAACCCCCTCGCCCAATTGTTAAAATTATTTTGAATTACCTTATAAATACCTCTGGTCCACGAAGGAAGATTTCCTTGGGATCCTGCTGATTCATGATTGATTATTTATCTAGTGCCCACAGTGAGCCAAACCCTTAATCAAGGATTTGATTATTTGCTTACTTTTCTGTACCCTTCAAGTTTCTGCTTTAAAACTGGAAACATTTTAGAAATCAAGCCATGGTAAGGTGGTATGAAATTGGTAAACTCAGTTGCTAGCTGCTTTCCATGGTTCAAAAATAAGAGTGGAGCTTTAGGAAGTCAGCCTGAACATCATCAGTCACCATTGTTTTCCTTTCTTACTTAAGGAACTAAGTTACAGCTGAAATTAGACTTGTATGCGTTTAGAACTTCACAATATTTAACATAGAACTTTACACTATTGCTAAGGTAGGTCTTAAGTACCTTCGCTGTTATATTCAAACATCCTTGTGCTGTGATAGGATCAGGAATGGTGAGGAAAGATGCAAGTTTGATTAGGACTAAGGTGTTTGTAAACTGTCAACATATTTGAGTTACTCCAGGTAATCATCAAATATGTTTCTCTTACCAATATCCATTTCTCCTTGCTACTTGAAACTTAGGGAACATGGTGATTCTATATGGTAAGCACTGGACTTTGAACCACAAGGCCGGTGTTTCGAGTCACCAGTCGCTCTGCAGGAGAAAGATGAGGCTTTCTGCTTTGACAAAGATTCGTTGCCTTGGAAACTCTATTCAGGGTAGCTATGATTTGGAACTGACTAGATAGCACTTAACAACTTTAAACTAAACAAAACAACTTATTTGCCAAAGTCAGCCAACCCTACACAAGGATCACTTTCTGCATTTGCAGTTTAAAAACTTAAAATACAGAAACACCAAAATAAATCGTTCAAAGGATTGAAATATTTTCAGAATGTTTACAGACTTGAGCTGTAATGTATTGCTTTGACAACATTTCCAAAGTTGATAGATCTTCTAAATATACTCAAATGCTGACAATTTGTTTCCCTGGAGGGTAAGAGCAATTCCTTGCTTTCCTTGCTAGAAAGGTCTGAAGTTCTGAAGCTGACACACCTGCTTGTTTGTCAGCTCTTAGCAGAACAACCCTTAGAAAGTTAACATTCTGTTGGGCCTTCTAGTAAGAAAATTGTGCCTCTTAATTGATTAGATTATACATTATTAATTGATAAATGACACCATTTTTCTAACCACATAATAAAATGCCTATTCAGACAACTGCCTAAATAATTCCAGTGGATAATTGTTATATTTATGTTCATATTTTCTAGGTAGACCTGCAAAAGCTTTCACTGAAAGTAAGAAAATTATCATATTTTCAGTTTGAGGTTTTATAGAATCATAATTTTGATGAATAAATGTTTATTAAGCATCTACATCATATTTTAGAATAAAGTCTCCTAGACTCCTAAATAAATAGAGTCCTTGTGTGGTGCTGTGGGATAATACATTTGACCACAACGTTGATTTGAGCTGCAAAGTTGGTGGCTCAAATTGACCAGCCACTCCTTGGAAACCCTATACAGGGTGACTATGAGCCAGAACTGACTGGATGGCAGTTAACAACAATAATAATAACAAAAGTCTTTGGAAAAAAAAAAGAAAAAGAAAGAAACAGAAACCTCAAACAAACCAGTTGCTGTCCAAATTGTTTTTACTTGTGAAATATTTTTTAATGCTTTCTTTCCCCTGATCCCACTACTGTGACCCTAACCCAGAACGTTCTGATCTTTTTTATTTTTAAAGAACTTTTTATTGTGGATTGAGTGAAAACTTACAGGGCAGATCATCAGTTTTACATTCAACAAATCAT